GCACCCATATAGTGGCTAACAACCACCTGTAATCCAGTTCCAGGGTATCTGACACCCTCTTCTGACCTCCACAGGCATTGCACAATATATGGGTGCACTTACATACATGCAGGCAATACACTCATACATATAAAAATAAATATTTTTTAAATAATAAAAAAAATTAAAAACTCACCCCAGGTTGCCCAGCACTGGAACCTATATTGACCATCATGCAATGAATCTTAATCATTACCCTTTATTCTGCCAGTTTGAAGCCAGCTGTAGGAATTGGCAGGGAACACTTACAGAGCTCCTGTTGCATAGGACTAGTCTGAGTGATAGCATGTATGTACACCTTACAATTCATCAGGGTCACTGTTGCTCCCTTGTTAACAGATCCTATAGGCAGAGAGTCCTGAAACATTTACAACCAATATAGCACAGGCACACTGTCCACAAGGCAGGGTGGTCTTGTTGACAGATGAGATCATCAACCCTAGTGACCATAGCAGCTTGCCAGCGGTCACACCACAAGCAGGTGGTGGCCAGTGAACCATAGAACCAGGTCTTTTTTTCAGGCTCCACCTTTTCCCCAGCTCTAGAGTAAACCCCAAGGTGGGGCACAGTCTCCCGTGCAGTTGGTCCTATGGCCAGCAGGGATGAGGCACACTGCCTCCTGCCCCATGGAAATTGTGTTCACTTGCTCAGGGTTCCCAGGGTGGCAGCCTGGTGCCTTGGCAGCCAGTGAGGCACCCTGGGATGGGAAATCAGGCAGCCGCCCAGATATTAGAAACAATTACCACTAATTACCAGGCCTGCCAGTTCCCCACTGTCTGTGCGCACTCCACCAAGAACTAAGGAGCAGGCAGAGAGGATGTTGGAGGAAACTTTCAATTTCGGGTTGCAGAAGGCATGGTTCTGCTTGGGGGCTGGGTTCCCACAAGGCCCTATCACTTCTCTATCTCTCTGGGTTTTGGAGCCCACACCCACCTTACAAACTAGATCTTGGACCCTTTAGAGTTCTAGGAGCATAGGATGGAAAGACCCAGGGGCTTAGAGCAAAGACTTCATCCCAGCTGAGTCCAGTGTCAGCCTCTGGGTGAGGAGCTGAAGGGCTTTGGTTTTGCAAGACTAGTAAGCACACGTGTCAGTTTCCAGGCATTTTAAAATTATTTATTTTTATGTTATGTGTATATGTGTTTTGCATGCATGGATATAAGTGCACTTATGTGTAAAATGCCCGCAGAGGTCAGAGAAAGTGTCAAATTCCCCCGGAACTAGAGGTTATCAATGGTTGTTAGCCATCATGTGGGTGCTGGGAATCTGGGTCCTCTGTAAGAACAGCCAATGTTCTTAACAGCTGAGCCATCTCTTCAGCCCCTAATCTCTAGGCATTTAAGTGACTATTTTCTATACTTTTTCTATAAAAATATCTTGCTGCCAAATTAAGATAATAGCCAAAGAAAATCAAATGCCTGAGTTCTGGCACTGCTCTGCGTCTGATCCAAAGATTCTGGAGGAAATAAATCATTTAAGAGGCCATACCAGAAATCAACACTGTGAGAAAGAACTTCAATGTGAAGGGAGGGCCTAATATAGGACAGCTGTCATACCTGTGACCTCTGTGGGCAGCTGGAGCTTGGGGAGGCAGTGGTAGACATGTGACAGGTTATCCCAGCTACAGACCCCTGCCTAGTTGTCATCAGCTGGATGCTGTTCCTGGGGTGTTAGCCCTTGAGAGCATCCATCCTACCCTGTTCATAGGCAGAGTCTTATCACAGACAGAAAAGACCCTCTCAATATGTGGCCTCTCACAGGTTTGAGAGAGGGCAGCCCAGCATGCAGAGGTGCATGCTGGGAGGACAGGGTGAGCTAGACACTGCTTGTGTGGCTTGGGTAGTTACTGCTCTCCAGCTGATCTATAAAATGGGTTCAAGAATAATATGGACCACAGGGTTGTAAGGATGAAGTGAATTGATCTGCGTGGAGTCCTTAGACTGTTAGAAGCACCCTGCAAGGTTGTAAGTTTGCTGTTAGAGATCTCTGAGTCAAGCCCTCATTTTTCCAATGCTTTGTTGTAAACTTAGACTTATGTGGTTCAGGATTTGCTCGAGGTTGCACCTATGTCCTAGATATAGAGAATCCATGTAAATTGCTAAAACAGACTCAGGGTAATATTTAAAGTGCATTCTTCCTTTCTAACCATGGCTTGCATCTGTGGATTGAATCAACCTTGACTCAAAAATATTTGGGGGGGGGGGAAACCTCAGAAAATTCTGAAAAGTGAGACTTGACTTGCCACATGCCAAGCACTATACTGAAATCATACAAATGGAATGGTACACAAATGTACCCTGCTGTGGCTCCTGACAGTTCACAGGTCCTGGGTCCCTGTCTGGCTCTTACTGTTTGAGCACTGTTTGCCTTGTTCAAATATGCTTAGGGAGGCCTGCGACAGTCACGTCTATACTGAACATGTATGGACTTTTCTTGTAACAACTACTTCCATTATCATATGCACTGGCATCATGGGAAGTGTCCTATATAATCTAGATATGATTTAAAGTACATAGGAAGACATGCATAGGTTCTATGCAAATTCTATCTACACATACGTTTTATTGGAGGGAAATGAACATCTGTGGATTTTGGAATTTCTTGAGGTCCTGGGACCTATCCGCCATGGGTACCAATGGACAACTTGTTTCATAAGATGGAGAGAGCACAGACATTAGAGCACACTGTTTAGCTTACACCCAGCATCCTATACTCTCTGATTTCTTTTTCTTTCCATAGCATTCACCACCTCCTATCATAGTATGTAACTGATAATATTTTTTGCTATGTACCCTCCTCCACTAGAGTGTAAGCACCTGAAAGCAAAAATCCATATCTGGCTTGTTCCCTGAAGCAGTCTGTGTCCAGACAGTGCCTGGCACATAGTATGGTCTCAAGAACATTCGATGAAAGAATAAATCAAGGGAATACTGGCTGTAATACCTGTGTCTCCAGTTCTCAGTGCTGGTTAGTGTCCCTAGTGTTTGACTGTTGTCACGGTACCAGTGAGACTGTGGAGGAAGGGTGTGTGGTCCTTGGACATCGTCCGTCATTACAGTGTCTTCTGGCAGGTGACCATTGGTCATCATTTCTCTGGTTTCGGCTCCTTTCCATCAGCCTCATGAATCTTTTTCTCAGGTGCATATGGAACTTACATATCTGGAGTGGCATTGAGGGACATGGGGTCTCAGAATGTCCCAGAAGATGTTCAGGCAGCCATCTACAAAGCATTGTTCCCTTTCCTTAACTCTACCCTCTGAGAAGGGTGGTGGGGAACACTCCCTACTTTTGGATACCTCCAGCCTCTCTGAGGTTTTCTGTGATCCTTCAGCACCACCAGCTCATCTGGGGACCACAGATGTGCCCAGTGAGTCCCCAGCCCAGCATCTCACTCACTTCCTCACAAAATCTCTTCTCCAGGCCTGGACTTTATTTGTTTTTTACTTGTTTGTTTGACTATCTTGTTTTTATACCAATACTTCTAAGTCTATTTCTTAGATTTGCAATTTGAAAGTCAAGAAGCCAAGTCTCTGGCTCTGCATATCCTCCTGGGCCATCCATCCTCTGAAGGAGGAGGCATCAGACATCTTGCTACTTAAGGCAGGAGAACGGTGAGGGCAAAGGAAACCATGATGATGAATGTGGAGTCCTGAGCATGCCGCTGGCTCTGCTGATAACTTACACAGAAACTGAATCTGTGGGCTGAGCTGTGGTACCTCACAGAATAGAGGGAGGACCTGAGCAGTCAGAACCCCATAGTAGTCGAGTCTGTCTGCAGGCTGTTTGTGAGAGCATCCACCAGGTGTCCAGTCCTCTGGGATTTTCCTTTTTACTCCCAGAGTTGCTGAGTGACCTGGCTCAGGTCAGCCATCTAACTCTAGATCCATCAGCTCCAAGAGGGGTCTCCCTTTTGCTGGGCAGATGTGTTTCTAGTCTGAAACACATCTGGCGGGAAACAATTTTAAAGCCAACCTCCTATGGTCATGTGAGAAGATGACAGGTTGTAAACACCTTGATAGGGATACACACCCAGTGCTTCATCTTGCTCCATGTTTCAAGAGATCCTAGATGGGAAAGTGTGCCATTTCCAGTTTAGAGATAGGAAAGAGAAGGTTAGAGGTAAAGTGGTGAGAGAAACTAAATAAAACCGATTTAACCAAAGTAATAATAGTGGTTATTATTGACTTAGATAAAATCACTTGCACCAGGCAAAGCTTGATCCAGAATAATACCCCCAGTCTGATGATGGATGACTTCATCACTGGGTTTTCATTGCCAGAGTCTCCAAGTCTATGTCTCAGGCCCAAGTCTGATGGGAAAAGGGAATGTCACACTCCATATGGTTCATACACAAAGCTTCCATACCAGATTTCTGTTCACTAAATTGGACCACAGGCCTGTCTTGGAGCCAGGCCATGGCCAAGGGAAGGGAGCTACAGGGTAACCCAGAGCTGGTCCAGAAGCTGTGAGGAGGTAGGGTCCCCAAATGAAATTAGAAGTGAGGTCTTGTTACCAAAGGAAGGGGGAATGGGTAGAGGGAAGCTACATAGCAGCAGCAACAGCATCCATCAGAGTCCGGAGCTGCTGTGTGGGGCATCAGTTGTCTGGGTCTCCCATTAAACCAATGATTCTGGTGTGACATCTGGGCAGGGGCATCAGGCATGATGGGATTTTAATTAGCTCTAGATGAAGCTGATGCTGCTGGTCTCTGGACTACACTTGGAATATCCAGGGAGTAAGCCACATGAGCCAGCATCTGACAAGCCCCATCTCCCATGATCCCTATAGCCACCCTGATGGGTTGGATCAGCATATCCACCCATAGCAGTGGAACCTAAGACTCAGAAGGGGGAGGGGTTGGTGGTGGTTATAGACAGGATCATCATGAAATGAGAACATTCTGGGCCTGTGCATTAGCCCCCAAGGAACATTCGTGGTGTCTCATCTTTTTCTTCTTGCAGCCTTAACTATGGAGGAGTTTGCCTGGCCTCAGATGCCCAGTTCAGTGACTTCCTTGGAAGCATGGGGCCAGCCCAGTTTGTGGGCCGCCAGACTTTGGCCACCACGCCCATGGGTAAGTGTCCAGAGTCCTGTGTCCTTCAGTCTTTACCCTCCGCCTGATGGCTGCATGCTCTGAGTACCTGTCCTGGAGCCTGGGCCACATAGTCAAGCCCTTTACAGTACCTACCCGTGCAGTGCCCAAGTTGTAATTATAGGACTTGATCTGCTCCTGGGATCAGGATGTAGAGGGGGAACAAGTCCCGTGGAGCTTCTGAGCCACTTCCCAGCCTCATCTGTTGCAGGGGACGTGGAAATCGGCTTGCAGGAGCGGAATGGTCAACTGGAAGTGGACATCATCCAGGCTCGGGGACTGACTGCCAAACCAGGCTCTAAGACGCTGCCAGGTGTGAGGAGAACTTTAGGAGATGGGGCACCTTCTTGTTAATCATGATACCTGTGTTCCTAGTAGAGCTCCAAGCATTTGTGGAGAGGTCAGCAGATACATGTGTAAGGCAGGCAGAGTCGGGGAGTCGTGGACTGAAGGAGGAAACTGAGCAAGGGAAGGGAGGCAGGCAGGACACCAGAGGGGAAGCAGAACCACCCAGCTATGGCTGCACATCTACCCACCCTACCCTCACTTGCCCTGTGGCCCTTCCCTATACCCCTGGGAGTTCTGTTCCCAGCAGTGGGTGCTTGCCCCATCCCCTGTTGCTCCTATTGTCCACCATTTGAGGTACCAGCTTAAAACCCTGCCTTCTGCCCTGAATCCCCAGCGGCCTACATCAAGGCCTACCTGCTGGAGAATGGGGTCTGCATTGCCAAGAAGAAAACCAAAGTGGCCCGCAAGTCACTGGACCCACTGTACAACCAGGTGCTGCTGTTTCCCGAGAGTCCTCAGGGCAAAGTCCTGCAGGTGAGGGGCCGTGTGTGTGTGTGTGTGTGTGTGTGTGTGTGTGTGTGTTTGGGAGCAGGGTATCTCAAGAGCCTCACTGTGGAGAAGTACTGAGGCTAACTTGTACCCCACAACTTCCTGTGCCACTGTGAGCTTGATCTCTCTTGAACTTTGGCTGCTTCATCTGGACAGTGGGGTGCTGATGGCACCTACTTGATATCATTAGTATGGTAGTGGGGGGTGTAGGAAGAGCACTCCCAAGGCTGGTTGGTAGTAAGTGCTGTCCAGATGGCTGCCATCATCATCACCACCATCACCACCACCACCATCATCACCACCATCACCACCACCACCATCATCATCACTAACATCATCATCACCATTATCACCAACTCTGGAGCCAGGGACTTGGCCTGGGTCACAGGGATGATAGGCCAGAGAGAGTTTTGTTTTCAGTCATTTAGGGGATCCTAGTGCTGAAGAGCTACCCACTGTGTGGCAGGCAAGACAAATGCCCCCCAGGAGCCCTGTGCTTACCTTCTTAGCTGCCTGTCCCTTGGGCACCTCTGCGTACTCCTCAGGCCTTGCATCCATGATGATGTTCAGACTAGAATGTTCCAAGTTGCTAGGACAGGGGGACCTTTCCAAAACTGGGAAGCCCAGGTCCTCTCTAAGGCAAAGGTTTGTAGTGGGTTAAGACCCATTAGTGAGATGTGAAGTGAATTTTACTAGGTCTCAACAAACAACTTTTTGAAAATTGAAGACTCAAGGTAGTACACTTGCCTAACATGCCCAAGGCTCTGGGTTCCATCCCAAGCATGGGGGTGGGGTGTGTGTGTGTGGAATGGGATAGGAAAGATCTTTACCACTCCTAGTAAGGAAATAGAATTTGGTGGTCACTTGCTTCACTTCTTTTTCCTGTCTTCTTTCTCTCCTCCCTCCC